CGGGCCTCTAGTTTTCAAATAATAAACAAAAATGATTCAGTACAACAGTTCTTAACCTTTCACCACACCTCCAGTTTGTCACAAAGGCAAGGAGGTCCTATTGTAACACTTCCTGCTTGAAGCAGATTCCTTCTGGGAAAACGCTGAGGTGGGAGCACTCTTCTCCCTGCCCCACCCTTACACATCACTGGGTGTTTATGGTGATACTTACTAACTCCTGAACCTTTGTAAACTCCTTGGCTGAAGCTTTAATTCGGTGAATGGAAGAATAACTACTCTAGTATGGTGGGAAAGGGTCAAAACACAACAAACTGAATTTCTACCAACATGAACATTTATGTCACCAGAAAAGAAGCCTGATGTCTTATTTGGCACTTTTGAACCAAGAACTTGTAAAATATGTATTTTTAAAAATATATTTTTATTGATTTCAGAGATGAAGGGGGAGGGAGGGAGAGGAGGGAGGTGTGGAGGGAGGAAGAGAGAGAGAGAGAGATATCAATGTTGAGAGAAAATCATTCATCAGCATGCCCCACACTGGGAATTGAGCCCACAACCTGGGCATGTGCCCTGACCAGGAATTGAACCGTGACCTCCTGGTTCATAGGTAGATGCTCAACCATTAAGCCATGCCAGCTAGGCAAATATGTTTGTTTTTTTTAAATAATTTTTCAAGACTCACTCGATCATTCTAGGTAACTGAAGGAAAGCATAGGAAAGACAATGCAAAACAGAGGAGAAAAAAAAAATACAGTTGTTAAGTGAATTAAGTGGCAGTATGCACAAGTCCTTTATTCAAGAATGCTGAATAGAAATATGACAAACTTAGAAACTCCGGGTTACTTCTGCCATACCAACTAAGTTATTATACAGTACAGGCATGGACGTTCTATACCACAAAAAAGCTTGTTTTAAATAAAGTTAAATACAATAAAGCCCTGCTTTCTAATATCACAGTAAAAGAGTTGAAATTCACTAATGGGGAGGAAAGGGCAGGAAATCCTTTATTAATTCAGTAGGAAATAAATACCTATTTATATTCAAGGAACTTTTTTTTTTTGTTCCCCCTCACTCCCTTAAGTCAATGGTACTCAGGATTTCAAGGAAGTAATTTGTGAATAGAATCAGGGTCTAGTGAGTAATTTTAAAATCCGGGTGTTATATATGATAAATTAATCACCCACTCGCTGTAATTTTTAAAACATTTTTCTTAAGATTTTTGTGACACTGTTAATGTCAACAATTCAAGCAGGTTTGAGAAGCAATTTATAAAGTAATGAAGTAAATGAGTGTGTGCGCATGTGTGTGTGTGTGTGTGTGTATAATGTACAATGACCACGAAATCCAACATCTAATAAAGAAACCAAAGATGCTGCTAACAGTGGAGATACAGGAAAACAGTTATTCAAAAGAGGCTGAAATTTTTCTAAAAATTATTCTTTCTGTAGAGAACACCTGATTTTGGCATTTGGTTATTTTTTAATAGTAAAAATAGGAAATTATTTTTTACAGTACAGCAAAGGTGGAATGTGTTCAGTGCTACGATGAAATACTTCTATGAGGTATATCTCGGTAGTCTTTTGCTGTTCCATCCACTAAAATCACTCACTAGAAAAAAACAAGTCACATTCTCCTTGTCCTACACATAGGGCATTGCACTGTGTGAGGCAGCTAGGAAGACTACTGCATTTCACCTCTGAGCAAAAATAACTGGAGACATGACTTCAGGGTTTCTGCACAGTGGGGAGAGAATGCGGCGGTTAGTTTAAATGCTAAGGGCAAAAAGAGTAGGTGCTCTCAGCCCACTGCCAACTCGGAAGCTAGAAGCTAACCCCTCACTGTTGTATTTGCCCATGAATGGGGGAAGACTAGGATTTGTAAATGTGTGTGCATGTATTCTGAATTGTACTAGTATACAGACATGTCTGTGTTATGGGGGAAAAGAGAGGTCAAGGTGGTAATAGTGGTGAAGGATAGTAAAATCTGAGAAACTCTCAAAGTAGTATCCCAGAATCAGAGGATTACTAATGACACAGTAGGAAAAGCAGAGGCAGATACAACAGAAATACCCTTATTCAAGTTTGGTGAAAAATTACATCCTTCAGAAAGCCTTAGAAATAACCATTGGCCAGGAATAATTTATGTTGTTCGAGAAGGAAGAAATATTGCTTCCCCCTATTACTACTAATGTAATATGCACGTGGAAGTTGGAGAGATGGAACAAACTGGTGACACAGTAAACGTTTATACTCACAAGGCGACCACAGTAGACAGATGATGGTAACACAAGATGGCTTTAGAAAAAATCAGAGTGAATAAATGAAAAGCCCCTTGTTTAATAACTGACCCCCCCTTTATTGCTCATCCATTGTCCAGTTAGTTACTTTAAACATATATTATTTATTTTAAAGGCTTCCTATATTTTATCTTAATCCTCATAATAATCCTACAAAGTATTATTAATCTTATACTATACATAAAAAATACCCCAAGATGTAGAGATGTTGATCTACATGCCACTGAAGCTGCAGAGCTGTTTTAACCCGATACCGTCCCCTGATTCTTGATGGACTTGGGACATAAGCAGTACTTCTTCAGGTTAAGAAGGATATTTAGAAAGTGCTATTTAGAATTGTGCTCCCCCAAAATTCAGAGATTGAAGCCTTAACCTCCAGTATTTCAGAATTTGGAAATTGGGCTTTTAAAGAGGGGATTAAGTTAAAATGAGGCCAGTGGAGAGTGTAGTCCCCAATCCAATCTGACTGGTGTCCTAATAAGAAGAGGAAGTGTAAATGAGACTCATCACAGAGAAAAGACCATTTGAGGACACAGCGAGAGGGCAGCCACCTGCAAGCCAATAAGAGAGTTCTTAGACTGAAACCAACCTTGACAACACCCTGATTTTGGACTTCTAGTCTCCAGAAATTTCTGATGTTAAAGCTACCCAGTCTGTGGTATTTTGTTGTGACAGCCCTAACAAACTAACGCATTTCGTACCGCTCAGGAGTTTTCTCGTGTTTCGCACGCCATCTGTTAAGGACCGCTCACGAGTGTTCTCGTTTTTCACGCCCATGGAAAAAGGAGCAAATCTAGCTACTTATGTAAATTTTGTTTGGTCCCTCTTCATAGAGGAAAATGTTTTACGCAGTACCATACGTTAAAAAAGTACTAGGAACTTTAATTGTTTAATTTTTTTTGTAAATAAAAATGTTATAATGGTTGAAAAACAACACCTAAAGTGCATTATGATGATTTAAATAACGTGCAGTTTGCCCAAAAACGTGCGGTCCCTGGCGTATGTCTTAGAGATTTCTATGCGGTACGCAATGTGCTAAGATAGGGACAGAGAAGAGGTCATCAAATGTAGTATCAAACATAGACTGCGTAAGTAACAGCAGCTCATCTGTTGTTCAAAACTGGCCTGAGGGTTGTTCCAGATGTTGGCCTTTACTTGAAGCAGGAATGAGTTCCATCCCTGGGGGCACTGACAGGTGGTGGCTATACCTGCCAGGGACACTCCTTCCAGTATATTCCCCATACTACTATGTCCACCTCTTCTCACTCCCCCTCATAGAAACATGGCTGAAATGTCCCCACAAGGCCAACATACACACTCTAATGAGCAAGGGACATGATAAATGAAAAGCATTTCAAAGCAGAGCCTGGTGTTGTTACCTCAGATCTTGCTAGAATAACATGACATTTATAAAAACACAACCCACTCGATATTTGGCACTGCTTGGGAATGAAGTATGTGCCCACTTAAGAACCTAGAAAGGCTGTCAAAGAAATCTCAAGCCAGAATTTCTTGTCTAAACATTACCTATCTTTAAAAATTCTATAGTCGTAGCCAGGGGTCCTCAAACTTTTTAAACAGGGGGCCAGTTCACTGTCCCTCAAACCCTTGGAGGGCCGGACTATAGTTTAAAAAAAAACTATGAACAAATTCCTATGCACACTGCACATATCTTATTTTGAAGTAAAAAAACAAAACGGGAACAAATACAATATTTGTATTTGCATGTGGCCCACGGGCCGTAGTTTGAGGACCCCTGGTCTAGGCAGTAAAGAAAATATCTCTACTTATTTATCAGTCTCCCTTTGCCTAAACATAAAAAAACATAAGCCATGTATAAGAACAAGTGAAATGCTGAGGGCAGGCACATTGATGGAACAGCTCTGTGCATCTGGCTAAAGCTTCCACACTGCCAGCCTTGGCCTGGATCACCTTTGTCCCCAACACACACCTACACAGAGCTCACACACCACCCATGCTGGCCACCCCAACACACACCCACACAGAGCTCACACACCACCAATGCTGGCCACCCCAACACACACCTACACAGAGCTCACACACCACCAATCCTGGCCACCCCAACACACACCCACACAGAGCTCACATACCTATAATGCTGGCCACCCCAACACACACCTACACAGAGCTCACACACCACCAATCCTGGCCACCTCCAATCCCAGCACACACTGAAAGGGGTTATTTACGGATTACTTTCTCAGATACCAGCCAAACAATGTTCCTGTTCACTTTGTCAACCACCTTAGATTATACAACATTTAACACCTGGGAGGATACACTCAGCCCCTAAGGCATATACCAAGGGTGAGCAGTCATCAAGATGTTCTCCACAAGCAGAAAGGATTTGCCAGCTTCCCTCTGAGGTCTGGGCCCTGAAAGACCAACTGTGGCACGTTTGAGTTTCCATCAGGCCTGGTGCTTGCTGGCTGCTGTGAGGTTTGGTCAGAATCCCAGGGCCCCGCTGTCTTATAAACATCTCAGCCTTCTGTTGGGAGCTGCTCACCTAAGCCTTACATCTTGGAGCTGAAAATATGCTATTTGAGAACCGCAGGATGAATGTTTGCTGACACTTGGAGCACAGCTGACCCCTCTCATCTCCAGACCAGTGATTGCTCTAAAAAAGCATGTACATTCACATGAACATAACAAGAACAGAAAGAAAGGCCCAGCTTTTCCTCACCATGTGCCACCCAGCCATGTTTGCACTGGTCGCAAGTCCGCAGGTTAATCTTCCCCGGCTGAAAACATTCGCACGTGCAGTTTACCAGTGTGCAACGGATGGCCTGGAAAGTAAAGGAGGGAAAGGAGCGTCAGCATCTGTTCGAAGGTACATTTGTTCCACATTTTACTAAGGAGCAACCACTTCTAGGTTTAAAGTCTTCATGTTGGGAGGGGCCTGGAGAGGTTTTTGATACCATCAAAATCTCATAAAAATGTAAGAAAAACAAGGTTCATTCACTAAGAGAGTATTTCATGCCACTCATGTGTAACCTTTAAATGAAAAGCATAGAGTAGAGTAAGAATAAAGGATGACTTATCCTACAAGATGCTGGATTTCTAACACCAGGATCCAAAAGAGGAAAAAAAAATATTGCTGCTATTCCCATGTAAGTTCATCCATTTGGCAGTAATGCAAAAATTATACATTCAAACAAGATAATGTTCAAGTGAAATGTTGATGAAAGTAAAACAAAACATACAAATGTTATTAGAATATCATTCTTCTGCTGAGTTCCACTTAAATACTTCGTTAATCTTTCAGAGACATGTTGAAAGACACTCCCATTGGCCCAATAAGACCCAGTATACCGTATACTTCCAGTATTATTTATCACTTCCCAATTCCTTGTTTTCCCCCACTTGATATATTTATTCCACTTTCATTCCTATTTTGACAAATACAAAACAACCCTCCCTATATTTTAACAGTGATGCAAGAAAATAAGTCTAAATTTATTTTAAGAACAGATGTAGAATAGGAAAAGCCATTTATGGGAACATTTTATATCTGGAACAACCCAACTGTATCTTAGAAAACTTAAAAACACACTAAAAAATCTTTCATTTCTTTACAAGTACTTTTACAAAATCATCTCACCAATTTATATTATCAAGTGAATCCATAGAAAATTAGCATAAATGAAGTGTAACTTTTTTTATGGATAAAAACGTATACTTAAGAAGTATGCTAAAGCTGACCTAAGCTCCTAGACTACAGTTAATAAATTTACCTCATACATTTCCTTCTAATTTGCATGGAAATTCTGAAGACAGAAGGGATTTAGTCTGATCATTCACAGATTAACAATCTACTGTAACTACCTGAACTGCCAGGAAAAGATCTCTCTGCAGCTTCAAATGTAATCAATGATTGCTGATTTGGGGGAAATCGGGGGAGGGGGCAGAGGTGCTATCTGCAACTGCAATTCTGTGCCTCCAAGCTATGCTCACTTGCACCCCCAGGTGCTCATCTTCCTGGAATCATTTGGAGTTCTACATAAACTGCCTCATTTGTAACAGACAGGATTTGAGATTTCATTAATATGATTGGACCAAATTCCATTTACAGAGACTAAGACTGAACAGGCTTTTACTGCTCCCTATGCTTTGGATCGGGCAAGTTTAAAAGAGTTTCCTTTCACTAATGACAATTAAATCTATAGGCCCCTATTCAGTTTCTGATGTTAAAGACCTCACTGAAGACTGCTTTCCTACTTCAATTCCATCCCTAATTTGCTCCTCTATTACCACTAGGGAAATACTGAACTGTATAATCTACATGATATTTCAGGGTCTCTCTTCCACTGTCAACAGTCCAATTACATATGAGCTAGGTTGTCAGACTTGGCTGTATGCATTCGTAATTAAAGGAACTAGTATTAAGAAATAAGGACACCAAAGGAAATGCCAACTAGGCAAGAATACTATATGTATGTGTAGGTTATAAGGGGAAATGTTTCTCCCAAAATTTCTTATCTCAACTTCAATAGTTACCGACTGAATGATATATTAGACCATCTCAGGTTAGAAATAGCTTCTTTAAATAACATGATCATTAGTTAACAAACTCACAACTTGACTGAACTACGGTCAAAACAAAACAGTTTAGAGAGCAGTGTTTCTACTAAAAACAAGGCACTGTACAAACTATCCAATTATAAATTCAGATATGGCAAGAATTTAGCATTAAAATATTTACATAATCTGAAGTGTGATAATAAAAGCTTCCATAAATTCTGAAAACCCCCCAAAACCCTGTGTTACCAAAATTAAAGGATGACCAACAGAAAGAGATGATCTCTCAAGGACTATATGTTAACTAACTCATGCACAAAAGACATACATATTTTAAATAATTAATTTGATAACATTTAATTATTTTATTAAAATAGCCTAATTTTTCCTGGGGTTTAAAAGTACACTTTTTAATTATAACAATATTTAGGACCTGAATAAATCAAGAGATTGTGGAATTGTTTTATTTTTATGTATACTTATTTTTTCACTAGTTGAATCATTGATTCACTTACTCTAAACTCACGTATGATTCAAATATTTTCTCTTCCTAAATAACTTTATATGTCTGGCACATTTGGGAATTAAACTTCTCAGATCATCATTTCTTTATAAATTCTACTTTTTTTTGTACCTAAGCATACAAACATTGGAACACCTCAACTCCTCTTGTATATAAACATTTAAGTACTGGAATATCCTTTTTGTATTTCTATGAATTCCAGAAGGTCTATTTGTTTTAAGTCCAGATTTATATACACTACAATTGTTCCTTAAGGGAATTATATATATTTAAACAATATGGTCTAAATAAATATTTTGAGTAAGAGAATATTGTGGCTTCAAAGGAAGTTTTATTCTAAATAACATTTTTGAAACGACATAAAACTTTGACATACTATTTACTCACAATAAAATAGAACCAATGTGATCACTCACCAACTCGCCCACACTTTAAAAAAAATAAATTATCATAAAACTATCAAAGGCAGTTAAGCCTCAAAAAAATGTACATGCTTTCGAAGGAGACAGTTGGGAAGAGCAGAAATAAGTGAGCTTTGCTTTCTATGAGCACATTCATTTCTTTCTTCCTTCAGCTAACCTGTGAGTGCAGCCCATTCACTGCTGGGCACTATGAACTATAGAAAATTCAGAGAGGCTGACAAAGTGTCAGAAACGGGACACCAAAGAAAGTACAGACAGTTTAGTCAGACTGTTCCCATGCCTCCAGGACCCTGATTCATCAGAGTGCCCTGTAATTCTTTCCTCCATTCTCACATGACCAGCATTCCCAACTCCCCGTGAACAATAACAACAATAATAAACTTTCTTAAGCCTGCAACGTATTAAAAGTAATATTTCCTACTGCTTACCTTTACCATGGAGTTCTTGAAAGGGAAATCCATGCACCCAGCACCCAACTGCTTCCACTTCCTCACCGCCACCTACATGCTAATTTTGCAACTGGAATTCTGCAACTGAAAACGCTGCCTCCAAGAGGAATGTTCTCCTCACCTCTGGTCCCTTTTCTGGGCTCCTTGTCCTCCCAGACCTCAGAGCAGCTTGCAGCACTAACTTTCCTCCATAGAGACCAACTATCCTAGTTTTTCTGGCAGCCACTTCCCAGTCTCTCTCCACTGTAAATAAATACAGGTGTTTCCCATGACCAGGCTCTTCGCTTTTTAATTTGGCAATTCCATCCCCTCCTACGGCTTCAAATATCATCACTATGCAAAAATCATCCCGTTAAAGCCAAGTACTATGTCAAGTGGCAGGAAATAGATGGCAGAGTCCTTGTGCTCAAGGACTTCATGGTCAGAGTTTGTGGGTGGTGGGTTTAGAGGAGAGACCTAAGAACAGGAGGAAGCCCTTAAACAGGTCTGAGAAGCACTGTCTCTCCCTGTTTATTCCTGTCTTTTATTAAATCAAATCAAAGGCCGGACTTTTTAAACTTATTTTTAACAGTGAACGATTGGTATTATTAATAACAGTTAGATTTACTGGATAATTGGCATTTTCTAGATCCTGTGCTAAAAAATTTACAAACATTAACTTACTTAATCCTCAGAAAATACCACTAGGTTGGTACTATTATCCCCTTTATTTTACAAACAAGGAAACGGGGGGGCGGGGGAGAGGGGGAGAGAGACCCTTAAGTACCTTGTCTAACATTGCTCAGTAGTAAAGTCACAGGAATTAGACACGGGTGTGTGTGAGCTCTCCATCCCTGATTGGAAACCTTGAGTTACTATCTGATTCCCAGTTAGGCAGTCATGGACCTGTACATGCCCACCATCAAACCCCCACTGTGTATTGTTAACTCCTGCTCATCTCTCAGATTTCAACTCAAATAGTACTTCCATTCCCCAGGGCAGGTCCTAAGTCAGCAGGCGGACATCCCCCAACGGGTCCCAGACTGCAAGAGGGCACAGGCTGGGCTGAAGGACCCCCCTCTCCCGCCAGCCAAGTGCACAAATTTTGTGCACCGGGCCTCTAGTTATGTTATATTTATACATCTGTCTGATTATTTGATTAAGGTCTGTCTTCCCTTCTAAATATATAAATTCCATTAGGGCAGGGCAAAACGCCCATTGGCCAAATAATAGGTGCTCAAGGGCACTTCAAGGAAAACAAAATTCTCTGAGTCCCCCTCCTCATCTGTCAAATGACAGTAACAATAACATCCCAAGAGTGTCAAAAGACTTAAATGAAATAATGAATATAAGGCATGTGGCACTATGCCTAGCAATAGTAAAAGCTCAATAACTGAAAACCATTTATGACCTCAAGAAACTTTCCACATATAATATTTGAATTAATTTTTCCTTATGATTATTCCCAATGTATTAAGTTTTTCCTACACCTTATAAAATGCTTAACACATATTTAGTCGTAATTAATAAATGAACACTTTGACATACATGAGGCCATATTATTCATGCTATAATCATCTACAATGGGTATGACAGGGATTATTAGTTTTAATACCTGGGTTCAGAAATGTTTATATGCCTCTTAAATGATAGGGTGGATTTCCCAAATATTAATCAGTTTATTTCTATTACTCATAGAAAAAGGAAAAAAAAACATACAATTAAAACCAGTATATTATAAATACATTCAAAGTATATCTCAAATACATAAAATAGGGCAATTTAACAGAAAAATATTTATTTCTGCTTTGGTCAGTAACACTTTTGTATTTGAATATTAAATAAGAGTGCATTTGAAAGTATTTTGGGTGAGTTCCAAAGCCCTACTCAAATAA